GAAAAAATATAATCTTTTCTACTTTCTCTATCAGAGTTGACCTTTGCATTATTATGTATTTCATTATTAATTTTAAATACAAATTCCTTTCTTTCTAGTGATAACGATGATAATAATTTATTATATGACATTATGTAAAAATATAAAATTCGACTTGGTGTTTTAATGAATATGGAGAATAACCATATAATTATTTCCTTTTTCTTGACGTGTAACAAACAATTTTTTCGTACAACATTTTTTTGATTGCCTAAAGTTTTTGAAAATTGCATTATTTAAAGAACAACTTCATAATCACCAAACTCTAGTATCGATTTATCGTGATCAACAATAAAAAATTCTTTGAAGATTTAAAAGCGATAAAAATAGAAAATAAAATTAAAGCTCTCAAAATATTTATCAATCTATATTGCTTCAAACTCAGACACCAAAGACAGCTCAATCACATTATTAATATTATTGCGTATTACTATTACGCCTAGTTAACTTCAAGTCAACAATTCGAAAAAACATCAATTTAACACAAATCATTTATATGTAAAGACAATTTGATTTTTACATTTTATGAAATGTAATAATAAAAGAATGTTTTAATTGTAAAAAGAAGAGAGATTTTTATTTTGAAAGAAAATATATGGAAAGTAAAATTTCTAATTCAATTTACAACATTTGTAAACTTCCCATGATAATTATACAATGATATAATAATTATTTATTCATCCCCGGCACACACATTTTTAAAACTAAAAGTTTCGTCATACATCATTGCTCTACTCTCTGAGTTATTAATGTGGAATTATTTAATTACCCGATTGATTAATTAATTAAAAATTGATCGATAAAAAAATTTCTTTAAAAACACGAATACAAAAGACTATTACTTTATTAAACAAATAATTCGAATTAATATTAATACTAATACTAATACTAATTGTATATCATAAACTGGATTTTGATAAACCCGAACCTATTTTTGTAGATGAAAATTATTCAAGGAAAAAACAAATTTAGAGGTTATAATAGACAGAATATTTGTTACAATAGCTTAAAAGGTGCTTTGATGGAAATCCAATCTTTTTCCAATCCTTCATATATTACTACACGACAAAAATCACAATGATAAATCAAAAATAGCTAACGCATAGAAAAATTGGTTGGAGGATGATGGCACAATATTAGAAACCATAGTCAATAACGTCATTCAAAAAGGTATCACATACATATGTATCTATTCAAGAAAAGTTGACACTGCAATTACTTTTGCATATAACAAACACTTGCTA